TCCTTTTGACTACGGCGATATAGTATGGGAGACCGGGAAACACTACACTTATGACAGAGCTACAGATCCTTCACAATAAGGCTGCGCGAATCATTTTAGATCTTCCCCTACTGCTTCCGCGAGCGATGCACTTTCAAGGCTCCATTGGAAGCCTCTAGAAGGCGGAGAGCCGAGCATCGTGCTATTTTCATGTTTAAGGTAGTTAATAACCTTTTTATGCACACTTTTCACTGCTGTTTTAACAGTAACTATCATAACTATAATACACGATCAAAGCGAAATATCCGCAAATCATTCGCACACAGAAGATGGGGGCACTGGATAACAATAAATTTTGCAACGGACGTTGGGAATGCCTTCACCCTTTCCGTAAGAGATGTGCCCATCTTAAGCTAATTTAAGCGTGGTATAAAAAAAGCACTATTTTAATTAGTTTCATTTTTAGCATGTTAATTTTCAAATGATGTAGTTTTATCTACATATTTTTCGATTTGTATTCTTTTTCTTTTTAAGTAGTTATATTATATTTAGTTACTTTTTAGAGGACCTCTCTGTAAACCACTTTTTAGTGATGTTGGCATCCTCAACAAAGATTAGCTATTATTATTAACTTTGCTGTATTGTTAATGATTTTAAGGCAGGAGTTACGATACATTTGACGATCCATGATTACAACGCCGTTGCCTTTGTCCAGTTTGAGAATGATAATGTTTGGATTTATGCGAATGTTTTTAAGGATGTGATGTTTTTGAAGTCAGCTGGTGTCGGGTGATAAGATGAGATGTACGAGTGAGCGATGTGTGCCAGCTCTGTTTTGAGATGCGTGTAGTCTTCTTGATTGCGAATGTTGTGTTTTATAGTTTGGTGGATTTTTTCGAGTGTTTCCAGAATGTCGGTTGAGTTGAGTCGTAGTGGTTTAATGCTGAAACCAAGGCCATTTTTCAGGAGTTCTAGTTCTTTGTCTTTAAATTGGTGTGATGATATATTGGTTATCGTCTCGTTGTGTGTGAATGGTAGGGTTCTGTTCCTCGTGAGATTACTTAGTTTTTTCCGATGTGTGGCAATTGTCTTTTTGTAGGTATTTGGTTATGTTTTTTCTAGAGCTTTGTTTAAAATATTCCAATCGAGAGGATAGATTACAGAAGACTACGCATCGTGCTTTACACGCATTAGATTACTGGCTGCCGTTAGCCATTTCATCGTTTCTATTGGTCAAAAAAAACAATTGATTGCCTGTCACTATGGTAATCATATGCGTAATAAGATATGCATGGCACGAAAAAATTCAATCAAGTGGCTCTACTGTATATCCACTATACTTTGCCTGTGACAAAACTAGAATTCCAAAAGTTGAATATCATATTTTCAGCTCTACCTGTTAGATTTATAAAATTTTAAAGCTCCCCTATGAATCAGGATCTAGTTTTATCCCTGCTTGCTACTAATATAAAATATGGCTACTACTTTACTTGCTATTTTATTAAGAAACAGTCCAAAATATTATAATGTACTTGTCTTGTTACAAAAGTAGACATGTTCAGTTTTAAGTTAATATATATATATATATATTTTAAGTTAATATATATATATATATATATATATATATATATATATATATATATAAAGATAAACGTTTCTCCGGATTTTTAAATGATTTTTTTTTTATTGAGCTTTCGACTCGTTGCTTCGAGCCTTCATCAGAATGAGGATATTTATTTAAAAAAAAAAGTCATTTAAAAATCCGTAGAAACGTTTATCTTTTATATATTCAATGCCTGGATTACAAATTTTCAAACTTATAAAATCGACATATGGGATAGATATTCTCAGAAGAACAAGAAAATGGGAATTATTCGCACGTAAAGAGTCATCAACATTGGAGCAGCTTCACTTCCTACACAAATGCAAACAACAACGAATCCTACCGAACAGCATCAACTACCGACCACCATTAAAAACAACTCACGCTCAACAAATTGCACAATCAAACGGCCGCCGTATGTTAAACGTCCTCATATCAGATGCCCACAACCGCTTACGAATCTACCGTCATAAACTACAAGAACATCGAGAAACCGTAACAACATACACGACACAATCAGACGCCAAATCCATTAATGAAGCCATCAAAAAAGCAACATCCGCATATCGAACAAAACGACACCACGAACTTCATCAAAAATTACAAGAATCCAGATCTTACAAACAACTCCATCCCAACACAAACGAATTTGTCACAAACATCTCGAACAAACCACTAACCGAACAGCAAACTAAAATTTTAAACAAAGGATTAAATTACAACTTTAAAGACGCGAACAAACTTGACTACGTTGCCGACCTGGAATCCGCTTTAAAGTACACCAACTTAACAGACCAAACGAAAGAAGACATTCGTCACAAAATCACAAATAACCTCTGCCACAAACCACCTGTCACCCTAAACTACGAAGAACTACGAGCAATTAAAAATCTACAAAACGACGACCAAATAATCATATTACGAGCTGAAAAAAGGACGCCAAACAGTTATCATAGACAGATCAGAATACATCGACAAAGCCAAAACCCTCCTACAAGACACCACCACATAAGAACTTCTCCACACAGACCCCAGCAAAACGACCACCAACCGCATCAACCAGAAACTGAAACAACTAAAAGACAAAAAGAAACTAAACGAAAACGACTACAGAAGAATCCGACCCAATGACGCATCCGCCGCCAAATTCTACGGACTAACAAAAATCCACAAAGAAAACAACCCACTTCAACCTATCGTATCGCTTCCAGGATCACCTACGTATGTTTGTAACCATTTGGTGGTCGTTTTGCTGGGGTCTGTGTGGAGAAGTTCGTAAGTGGTGGTGTCTTGTAGGAGGGTTTTGGCTTTGTCGATGTATTCTGATCTGTCCATGATACGACGAGATCCGAACTCACTACCGGCAGAACATACCCACGGAAACAACCACATTCGACTGGACAGAAACTAAAGTACTCGGACGGGCACAGACTAAACACGCACGCGAATTTAAAGAAGCTTGGTACAGTAAAGACAACGACACAATAAACAGACATATCGACATACCCATCATATACTCACAACTAAAGGAAAAGGACATAAAAACTACAAACAACACCAAAACTAAAATACTACACTCTAATATTATTAACACCAATCATATTAACAATACACCAAAACCCATGGCAACGCATTTCACCCCATCCAATCACATTAATCCACCCACTCCTCAATTAGACGCTCTAAACGTCTCCAAGCTAAAAGCACGTGTAAATAAATATTTTCATTCTGATGAAGGCTCGAAGCAACGAGTCGAAAGCTCAATAAAACTCACTTTAAATCCGGAGAAACTTTTATCTCTTATTTATATATATATATATGTATATATATGTGTAGTGGTGTTGAGAAAAATCACAAAACTACAGATTCATCCCGACAAGCCTGTTTCGTGATTGCTCACTCTTCAGGGGATTTAATGAATAAAATACTTAAATGCTTTAATCCTCTACCGCAGAGGTCATGGGTTCGAATCCCGTTGAAACAACTGATTTTTTCAGGTCCTGAGACGATTGCTTAAATTGTCCAGCAAAAGTGCGAATCATATCTTCATTTAATTTCAAACACCGCACTGCAAAAACATTAATAATGGATATGGTTGTTTATCTTCATAACCAAAAACGTTAATGTTAATTCTGTTTTGCTTTTCGATTTTATTACATTTTTTAGCAGTCACTTGAAATTTAATCCCAGAGTAGTCTAATTTGTTAATATATTCCTTATCAGATTTTTTAATTCTCTGTGGGTCTTTATTTTGTGGATTTAAATATCGAATATGACACCATTTTTCTTTTTCAGATTTTTCTTTGAGGCAAAGGTTGCATCTTTTACTGGTGCTGTTGTATGGTTTGCTGTGTGTAATGATGTTCCATGAGATGTCGTGGTCGATATTGCTGTCTTTAAGGGTCCAAATGTGCTTACTGAGCTCGGTCGAGTTTCGTAGTTTTTCGTGGCGGAAAGAGGCAGTGTGATTTCTATGTCTAGTCTTAAATTCGTTTTCTGTAAGTCCAATGTACGTCTCAGTTGTGTTATTGTCTTTGCGTTTTACAGTAGCTTGGTAAACAACGGATGACTGCAGGCAATTTCCGTTAAGTGGGCAGTTTTGTTTTTGTCGGCAGTTGCATGTTTTTGTAAGTGTCTTTTTTTTCGCGGTGTTGTCGTTAGTTTTGTCTGATGTTCTCAGTATATGTTTGTTATGGTTGTTGATTATTTGTTCGATATTGTTCATGCAGCTGTAGCTGAGTTTGATGGTGTTACGGTTGAATATTTTCCTGAGTTTATGGTCTATGGGGAAGTGTTTGTCGATTAATGAAAGGAATTTGTGGCCAATGTTCGTGTAGACGTTTTGCTGAATGGAGGGTTGTACCAAAGTATATTTTGTCGAAGTCTGTTTTCCGTTTGGTAGTAGCGTCTGAGTCGAATTTTAGTGTGTATCGGTATCCGTTTTCGTCGAGTGCTTTTTGGTATGGTGCAGTTATTTGGTCAAATGATGCTTTGTCGGATGATAGTGAAGATAGACGTTTGTTGATGGCGTCGGGTATGTTCTTCGTTATGGTTGGTGGATGGTTGCTTTCGCTGTGGACGTATTGCAGAGAAGAGTTGTAATTAATACTCTAACTTCCGTCATCTAACTTGAAACTATACACCTTGATTAATACACTAACTTCCGTCATCATCTTGTATATATATTTTAAGCATTTAAGTATTTTATTCATTAAATCCCCTGAAGAGTGAGCAATCACGAAACAGGCTTGTCGGGATGAATCTGTAGTTTTGTGATTTTTCTCAACATCACTACACATATTTACGCTCTGCTCTTGGGCATCGAGCATTGTTTTATACGGAAAATCATAAATTATAAACTTCCTATATGTATATATATATATATATGAGCATGACACACAAAACCAACTTCAACAAATTAAACTTAGTACGTCGTTTATACTCTTTTTAAGTGGTTAGTTGTCTGATCTTTTGCAGTAAATTAAAATCAAATCTTTGCACGAATCAATAGCTATATATTCTCAGTTCGTTAACACTGACTATAGCTATAGACAACACATAGTTATTTCAAAATGTTACTATGAAGTTAGTATGACATTTTTTGTCAATAGCAGCACAATAGTTACATTTTTTCGTCTCATTATGCATTGGTTCAAGATATATCTAGGTAAATTCTTTTATTTTGGGTTATTTTTCATTCTATTCTTAGTTAAAAATTCGTTCATACCTTAAATCGTTACTTAAAATACCATAGATGTTATTGTTATCATAATTTACTGCAAGCCAATTTATCACCACTTTCCAACAATGATGAATTTGATGGTGTTTCACTTTCTGATGATTTTCCACTAAATTCTGTCGTATCAGCAGATTTTTGACTTTTGAAAGACGACTCAATGGTATCTTTGTTTCCTAAGGCGTAAAACATGCACCAGTTTAAAAATCAATGCAACAATAATAACATTCAATCCCAGGTTTTTTGATTAAATAAGTTTTTTCTCTAAATGATAAATATTTTGTTGTACATTTGTTGAGTAACAAAAAAGTTTTGCCATTGGCGTAAAATAATCAAAACTTCAAAAAATTGATCTTCAGATTATTCAAAGAATAGCTGCTAATTGTAATATTTTCAGTACATGCAGAATTTATACGGAGAAAATCCCTTTTAAGGAGCAAAATGCATTGTTTTTTTTAAAAAAACACCGAATCCTCATTTTCCATGACTTCGCGTTTCGGATAAAAATGTTTTGACATCAGCAAAAGCATTTGAAGAAGAAAAATTGTAGTTTTCTTTTTCTCTTTTTGTTTTGTCGTCAAATTGACTTTTTATTACACACAACAGTCAATTACCATGAACAACCATGGGAGATTTAAATATATTAATTCATATTTTTCAAACATCGAACAAAGAAAAACATGCTAAATTATTCTTCTTCGTCATTTTACCTCGCGTCTGTGACTGAAGGGACAAAAGAAATGATTCCTCGTTTGAAAAATCATCACCTTTCTCTATTTGCTTTTCTTCACTTCTGTCCGAACTAAGAGTCTTTCCAGGAGCACTAGATGAAACTAATAAAAAATAAACTGATAAAGGTGATATGTCAACAAAATTTTTTTAGTAAAACACTATGAATTTATTCATCATTGCAACATTGGTGGAGAGAAGCATAATAGTGAGAACTAAGGAATTTTTTCCTACAATATACAAATTATTTAGAGCTTGTTTTCCTATTTGATGCTTGCTTACAGTTTTGTCATAAATGAGTATTTACAACAACCTTGATTAAAACTCACATGCAACATAAGCAATTATTTATTATATGAGTCATGCAAAGCTATGGAAAATGGATGTTTCACAAATAAACACATCCTTAAAATATCATTAATCATCATTTATAAATCCATGTTGTTTTATGTCAATAGAATACATCGCAATGAAAAACAGACAAAACCATTTTCACCACAGTCAACGAAACTAAAAGGAACTTAACAAACCATTTTGTAAGTCAGTCCATTTCTTCCCACCGTGTCTTAAGAGAAAGTGCGTCGCGAACTTTTCCGAACAGCCTCTTGCATCTAGAATAGTGATTAAGCATTTGCTAACAACACTTTATAATCTCATAACAAATTATGCAGAAATTGTCAATGTCACCTTTTTATTTAGGACACAGTGAAAGAGGAATATTAGCAATCCTTGAGCAGAATTAAAAATGGCAAAAAGATAACGGAAGAATACAGTCTCCTCATTGATGGCCATCAAGCCAAACACCCAGGTCAAACCAAGAATAGGTAAGATAACAATTGTAGCTCTTACTCCTGTCTTTACTTTCTCAATATTTTCTTGTTGTCTGACTTTGTGTGTGTTCATCATTTTCTGATAACCATAATGAGTACTACAGTATTGACCTGAAGATAAATAAAAATTTGCTTATACTAATATTACAGCATGCACACTTTATCTTTCTGATGAAATATAAAAGACGATTATCATATAATTTTTCCTGTGTTTATCATAAAAATCAACACGCCATGTTTTGTCATTAATAAGTTAATTGCCATGAATCTAGAAGAAGGTCAAGTATGTCTTCAATTTATTCTTCGAAAACATCAAGTAATTTCTCGTGAGAATTTAACATCTCAAACCATCAAATCATGGAATGCTGATACATCAAATCATGTTCAACTTTTGATAAGTTCAAAGCGACTTTGGAACGTGAAATAACCTTTGAAATAAGCCAAAGTTATGAACAATGGTGGGTCATCAATTTCGTGTTGTTGATAACATATATTGCTATATAAACCATCAAACACTGATAGAATTTGGTGGTTCAGAACCAATAATTTTAGTATGCAAAACTCAATTATGCAAATATGGACAGTGGTTTTTGGTTCATAAAAACTAATATATTGCTTTCGCAAAAAAACAATCATTGTTGAACAAATAATAGACAGATCACCTATTATGGTCACATTAAAACATTGATTGATGTTACATGTTAACTTACTGCAATAACAAAGCATGCTGGGATAATAAAAGCCAAATTCAATTTATTTTCGAAACTCAACCAACAATAGAAGTCGGTGCCATAACCTTCGCCTTGAGTAACTCCAAATGATGCTGCAATAGTTATCAAAGGAATGCCTAAAACGAACAGATTTGTCAGAAATAGCTTGCACATTGTAAAGAGAAACACAAAATATCATGCTCACCCCAGCCAATGAAATTGAAGATCTTAATATGCTTTCTACCAACGTTATGAAAGAGTCGTATAACTAAGATGTACAAAAGAATTCCCTCGCATAACATCCAGGTGAACACAGACAACAGGAAGTAATGTAAAAGAGCAGCGACTGATTTACAAAAAACCTGTTAAAATACACAGATGATTAGCCTAGTAAAAAATTGAACGAACGAACCAGCATATATTAACTGAATGCTATTAAAAGGACACTCGCGGTCATTTTATATGCTTGTAATTGTTTCAACTAATCAGTACAACAACAATCTTAGCAGCACAAAATTTTTGAAAAGAAACTATAGCTCCTCGAGTTGTAATCGAAATAATCATGCAATACCCACTAACATCCTTTTCTCGTAAACAGCTATTTTCTTTTCAATATAGTTACCGGATTGCCTCGAGCAACTCTTTCCACAACAGCAAAGATATCGGCAAAACCAATTGCGATACAAAGATTTATCAAAACTATACATCGAGGTGATTTCACATGTTTCCAGAAACACACGTGCATGAGGATTGTAAAAACTAAACCGACAAGTGATACTGAGCATCCGATAGTTGAGATGAATTCGAGGACTTTCAAATGAGTTTCTGGTGACTACAAGAAGAAAGGAACATTCACTGCTTACATAAAGTATTTCACTCTCTCTAGCTAAGCTAGAGTTTAAGAAATCTAAGAAAAATTATTTTTCTGTATTAACAGTCTTAGCAGAAACAAAATTTCAACTAATAAGATAGAGATTTTGTCGTGGTGGCAAATCTTAAAATAGTTTTGAAGATCGCAAATACCATGTGTGAATGGTAAAATTAATAAGTTAATAGTTCTTAATAGAAAGGAAAGCTAACCAATCCGGTCGTCTGCCAACAAAAGGATTATGTTTCCAGTTTATCCCTGTTTTGAGCGTCATCTCTCCTTTTGGAGATGACGCACACCTCTTGGCATTTACAAATATCGGTAGATTTTATATTTTCATTTAGCAGACGTTGGCACCTGAAGAGCAGTCTGCCGAAATGCATAGTGTCGTTTAGTTTCAATACATTCCTTTTAGAACTATTGGGTTAGTGCTCTTTACTTAAAACAGTTCTTTTAAGAACTATCAACGTATTGTTTTTACCATTCACCATGGTATTTGCGATCTTTAAAACGCTTTTCAAAATCTCAACTCCACTTTGTACAACGTTTTATCGCAATTGATGCAAAAAAAAGCTGGCCTTTTGTTACGGGAAGATATTTCGTTAAGGAGCAACATTACACGGCTCTTTGTAAAGAAAAACAATTCAATTGGCCATTTGATTAATACCTAGTAAAAATATAGTAAATATTCTTCAATTGTTAATTGGGGAGTGTCATATTAATAGATCAATATATGAACCCCACCCCAACCACCAATTATTGATTTTACTAGAGCACTGACGATTCGTATACCTACCAATAGGTAAATACTTTCTCAAAAAAATTAAAATATTTAATATTGTAATAATTAATGGTATAAGTGTCACAGCTAAATCATTGTTTATACACAAAACTGTAAGCAAATATTGTTCATTTGAACCTGAAATAAATAGGTCACTTTATACTTGCTAAAACGAACGTGAAAGTTAAAAGTCCACTTTAAATTTCAGAGTATTTTTGTAGTTTATTCATTTCTTTAAAAATCTCTTTTTCGCAGTAAATAAACGCAGCAACTTTTTTGAAATACTTAAATAAGCGAGGTAACTATGCCACAACTAGTGCTAATACCTGTACACCAGAGGAATGCATCATGATTGCAAACGCTGTGTTATGATCACAATCACAAACTACTTTCTCTTTTGAGGATTTTGATTCATTTAATTTACATCCTTCACGGCTCCATTTGCTATCGCTTACACTTGGTTCAATAAATACACACTGTCTTCCAGGATCAACGTAACCACTCTATATCAATGCAAAAAAGGTATTTAATACATATGTAACCATTAGGCAATAACAAATACCGTTCAGGTTGTCATACAGTTGTAAACTCAACACAAACCTGATTGTTTTTCAAGACAATTTTGATGTGTTGAGTAACATTGGAAGTTTTGGGGCTGTAGCAAAGGAAACTATGGTGCTCTGTATAGTCAGATTGCCACTGGCCTGTATCGTGCTGTCGACAGATTTTGTAGCTCCTCGGGCGATAATATGTCTTTGATTGAAGTGTATTTGACAACAGTCGCTTGCTTTATACCATCAACCCAAAGAAACTCAACGCCTTCGTCTTCAGACATGAGATTGACATCTTCGGGCTGAGCTGGTTTATTTTTATGGAGCTTTATACCAAGTAGTTCAATATTTTCAGTCTTAAACTTAAGTACTCTTCCAGGTTTTCCAGTTTCAGCGACTAATTTCTTAGCGTTCATGTCTGAGCCTTCAATAACATGTTTTGCTAAGGTGTTTCTTTCCTGACAAACAATCATAAAAGAAATAATGTCCAACTTAGCGAAGCTTATCATAAAATATGTAATCTTTGCGTATCATAAAATGTTTTTTAAAAGCACCAACTTGTAGCTACTGATTATATTCCATCAATTTGAATAAATACTCAAAAAGTTTATAAATACATTCATGAAATGTGAAAATGCATGCTGTTTTAGTATAATTTTATATATTCCATTAATATTCATCTCTATGGCAATTTTGGCGGTTGAAATAAAGAAATGAAATCAAGTTATATGAGGATTGTCTTTATAGAAGTCAAAAATATTACAAAAGCGACAGTGTTGCATGTGCTTTTCAACCGTAAAATAGCTGGGCAGACTTAATGATTATCTGATAAATCGGTTAATTATAGCAGCACATTTTCACAATGAGATGGGAAAACAATATGAACAACTATTAATTTGGTAAAACTTTCTGTTCCTAGTAACACTATTGAAACTACATCCCCAGCTTGTAAATTTAAGTAGCAAGTGCGTTCCAATTCATGCCCGTGAGAAAATCAGTTCATTAGAAAATGAACTGATAAACGTAAATAGAGATTTTGTTTCTATTTTGTTATAAGATGAAATTCTCACATGCTCTTTGTTACATAAACATTGGACTTGAACTAAGAGACACAAATTGCAATAAGTTTCACTCAAACATAACAAGAGAAGTAATGCCTTCATTCGTGGGATGATGAAGAACACTATCCCTGCCGACTCACTTGTAAGTTTTTCCAGGCACCTCTTTTTGAACTACCAACAATATTACTTGAAGACCGAATGAATTTCTCTCGATCAGTCGGCAACGATGTTTTCGTTTGGGTTCTCTTTAAAACAGACACAATGTCTCTGATATCTTGTTCAAACAATTCCCCACCGTCTTTCGTAACAACTTCAGTTCTTTTTAGAATCTCGCTGACGTTAATGGATGCAAAACCTTCCTCGAGCCTTGATACCTGTAAACGCACATCGTATTTAGAATTCCTCGTGAGTTGTAAATAAAACATAATGGTAATGCAAAAATAATGAAAACCCACCTGTTCAACTAGATCAACGACAATTGGGGATCTACAATTTGACACATCAACTTTATCCCAGGCTGCACGTCCATTATCCTTTGAACACAACCGAAAAGCAACTCCTAAAAATTCAATAAGAAAAAACAAAGTGGTGTATTGAATATGCAGGAGCCTCTCAGGCATTATTGAATAATCTGTTATTGTGCGGCCAGGATAAAGATAAACTAATATGTCAGCTGACCTATCTTTTTATCACGACATTTCTTAACAACATTTGACCCAACAGGAGTTCTTTTCCAATCATAACCACGAGCTTTCTCAGCAGAGCAATAGTCTTTGTATTCTGTATTTTAAAAGAATGCTTATCAAACATTTAAAAGATCAAAGTGTATTGAAGTGCTTAAAAACAATAAAAACAGATAAAAAAATGTTCATGTAGTCGCACGAACAGAAAAAGAAAAGTATTTTATGATAAATAAAATGTATAGTTTTAAGAGATTTAAGCAAAGAGAAACTGATTAATCCTTGTCCAGGTTTTCGGTCATGAGTTCTTTTCCAATCAACTTTGCTGTCAAAACGAATCATAAAATCTAACAAGATGTCAATCAGGAGCTTAATCCGGCTACTAAAGACCATTGTTTGTTTGGTTATGATTGCGTGTATGTATATAATATTTGCGAAATGGCAATACGAAATGCAATCTCACATATGGCAATGTATTATATAAATAAATTATGTATTATTATACGTACCATGTGTCATAAGTTACAACTGCGCGTGAAACAATTAAACAAAGATTTTGAGTGGTTAATTAAAAACTTGTATCAATCACGCGTGATTTGTTCAAGCTTGCGACGGCACAGGATAGTCTGAATTTCAAATTTGGGATAACCTTAGGTTGCCCGAGTCATTATTGTAAAATGTAATTATCAAATGTTATGAATGGTGTTATAAAATCTAAAAACTACCAGCAAATATCAAACAAAGATTCTATGTCTGCATGTGCAATAATGGAACAAAACAGAAATAAATAATTGAAATTGTTTCAATTTACCAACCTTTTGACACCACAACAACGCTGACATTTTGACTTCGACTTGTACCGTCTTGGTTTGTAGCATTACACCAGTATGTCTCTTCGTAACGATTTCTCGTCTTTAATTGAATGCGATTAGTAAGATTGAGTTCTCTTCCAGTATCTATATGCTGTGTAGGTGTGGAACTATTGAACCATAAAACTTCTACTTTGTGGTACTGATTATTATCCACCAGACACGTGAGCAAAATAACGTCACCTATACCAATGAGAAACAAACTTAATACTAAAATATTCTTAACTTTGATTTTGGGCAAACAAATGACAATACAATCTCAAAGGGTCAAGGGAGTATTTGTGATCGGGTATTTTATATGTTCGATTTGTGTATATGTATTTAGAAAGCGAGTCCCTCGTCCGCAATCAAAATTTTGAGTGTTGCATATCTAAGAAGATAAAACCTGTCAAAATGCCAAACTTTACTTGTAACGCTTACAATACAAATTACCTATGGATTCCATTTTAGATTTTTTTGGCACTTTTAAATGCAACGAAAAATTTCGATTTTCAGATACATTCAGGAGTTACCAATATTTATACCTTCTGTGGCAGATATTGACAGTGGAAAAACAGAAATAACAGGAACATTCTTCACTTTTACCGATATATTGCTAGCAATGCTCGCTGCGTCTTTTCTGTATTAATTTGAAAAAAGCGGAATATTATGTTGTTTTCATGTTTTATAAAATCTTTACTATAATGAAGTTAAAAGAAACCTTGCTATGCAATGATAAACACCAGAATCAAATGGCGTAGTATTTCGAACAAACAACTTTGAGACTTTGTCTTTCGTCTCCATCTTAACATTCGACGAATGTGAAAGGACCAGGCTGCCATTTTTCCACAAAAAATTTGGTGACGACGACCCATCAACAGTACATGTGATAATAAGTAACTTTCCAGAAATTCCTTCATATTTTAAGTTCATTTGAATTGAGGATAATATATCTAAAAGATGGGCATTCATCACAACAAAATTTATAAGCTTCCTCGTTGTTATTCTAGTTTAGATTGCGACAAGAATTGATGAGACATTCCTTGATAACTTAAAACAATATGAAAAGGTCAAATGAAACTCTATATGTTGTTATATGCAGTGTGCAACCAAATAATTTATTTACTTGTACAAGAAAATCCATCTCCAGAAAAACCTTCTTTACATCGACATTCAAAAGATCCTTCATTGTCGGTGCAATTTGCATTATCGTCACATGGGCTAAACAAACATTCGTTGATACCTTAAAATAAGAATAAGCAGTCAAGCCAACATGGTAGCTTTTTCCATATTAATAAATACTCTTCACTTGACTATAAAAAGATGACAACCGCTAAGAATGTTGAATCATCGCTCAAAACTAAAATCGACAGTCCTCAGGACTGCACCAACTTGAAAAATTATCATCCATAAACTCACTGCATATTAATGTGATAAGTTCTTACTTGTGCAATTAGCTCCATTTCTAAAAAACCCTTCCTTACATCGGCATTCAAAAGATCCTTCATTGTCGGTGCAATTGGCATTGTCGTCACATGGACTCAACAAGCATTCGTTGACATCTTCAAATGAAAATAAACAGTTAAGCAAACATGTTGTTGACTGTTTCCATATTAATAAACACTCTTTAATTGACTTTTTAAAAATGACCACGGCTATTTGCTACATATTATAAAATTGCTGATAAGCTCTTACTTGTGCAATAAGTTCCATTTCCAGAATACCCTTCTTTACATTGGCATTCAAAAGATCCGTCATTGTCAGTACAGTTAGCATTGTCGTCACATGGATGAGACAGACATTCGTCGATATCTTAAAATGAGAATAAACAATCAAGAAAACATGTCGACTTTTACATTTTAATAAACACTCTTCACTTGACTATAAAAAGATGACAACCGCTAAGAATGTTGAATCATCGATCAAAACTAAAATTGACAGTCCTCAAGACTGCACCAACGAAAAATTATCATCCATAAACTCACTGCATATTAATGTGATAAGTTCTTACTTGTGCAATTAGCTCCATTTCTAAAACCCTTCCTTACATCGGCATTCAAAAGATCCTTCATTATCGGTGCAATTGGCATTGTCGTCACATGGACTCAACAAACAAATGATAAACAGGTTGGACGTCAATCACTCTTGTTGACTGCCAATAACTATAAAGCAATAAGTTCCATTTATACCCTTCTTTACATTGGCATTCAAAAGATCCGTCATTGTCAGTACAGTTAGCATCACATGGATGAGACAGACATTCGTCGATATCTTAAAATGAGAATAAACAATGAAAACATGTCGACTACATTTTAATAAACACTCTTCACTTGAATAAAAGATGACAACCGCTAAGAATGTTGAATCATCGATCAAAACTAAAATTGACAGTCCTCAAGACTGCACCAACTTGAAAAATTATCATCCATAAACTCACTGCATATTAATGTGATAAGTTCTTACTTGTGCAATTAGCTCCATTTCTAAAAAACCCTTCCTTACATCGGCATTCAAAAGATCCTTCATTATCGGTGCAATTAGCATTGTCGTCACATGGACTCAACAAACATTCGTTGACATCTTCAAATGAAAATAAACAGGTAAGCAAACATGTTGTTGACTGTTTCCATATTAATAAACACTCTTTAATTGACTTTTTAAAAATGACCACGGCTATTTGCTACATATTATAAAATTGCTGATAAGCTCTTACTTGTGCAATAAGTTCCATTTCCAGAATACCCTTCTTTACATTGGCATTCAAAAGATCCGTCAATGTCAGTACAGTTAGCATTGTCGTCACATGGATGAGACAGACATTCGTCGATATCTTAAAATGAGAATAAACAATCAAGAAAACATGTCGACTTTTACATTTTAATAAACACTCTTCACTTGACTATAAAAATATGACAACCGCTAAGAATGTTGAATCATCGCTCAAAACTAAAATCGACGGTCCTCAGGACTGCACCAACTTGAAAAATTATCATCCATAAACTCACTGCATATTAATGTGATAAGTTCTTACTTGTGCAATTAGCTCCATTTCTAAAAAACCCTTCCTTACATCGGCATTCAAAAGATCCTTCATTGTCGGTGCAATTGGCATTGTCGTCACATGGACTCAACAAACATTCGTTGACATCTTCAAATCAAAATAAACAGTTAAGCAAACATGTTGTTGACTGTTTCCATATAAATAAACACTCTTTAATTGACTTTTTAAAAATGACCACGGCTATTTGCTACATATTATAAAATTGCTGATAAGCTCTTACTTGTGCAATAAGCTCCATTTCCAGAATACCCTTCTTTACATTGGCATTCAAAAGATCCGTCATTGTCAGTACAGTTAGCATTGTCGTCACATGGATGAGACAGACATTCGTCGATATCTTAAAATGAGAATAAACAATCAAGAAAACATGTCGACTTTTACATTTTAATAAACACTCTTCACTTGACTATAAAAAGATGACAACCGCTAAGAATGTTGAATCATTGATCAAAACTAAAATTGACAGTCCTCAAGACTGCACCAACTTGAAAAATTATCATCCATAAACTCACTGCATATTAATGTGATAAGTTCTTACTTGTGCAATTAGCTCCATTTCTAAAAAACCCTTCCTTACATCGGCATTCAAAAGATCCTTCATTATCGGTGCAATTGGCATTGTCGTCACATGGACTCAACAAACATTCGTTGACATCTTCAAATGAAAATAAACAGTTAAGCAAACATGTTGTTGACTGTTTCCATATTAATAAACACTCTTTAATTGACTTTTTAAAAATGACCACGGCTATTTGCTACATATTATAAAATTGCTGATAAGCTCTTACTTGTGCAATAAGTTCCATTTCCAGAATACCCTTCTTTACATTGGCATTCAAAAGATCCGTCATTGTCAGTACAGTTAGCATTGTCGTCACATGGATGAGACAGACATTCGTCGATATCTTAAAATGAGAATAAACAATCAAGAAAACATGTCGACTTTTACATTTTAATAAACACTCTTCACTTGATTATAAAAAGATGACAACCGCTAAGAATGTTGAATCATCGATCAAAACTAAAATTGACAGTCCTCAAGACTGCACCAACTTGAAAAATTATCATCCATAAACTCACTGCATATTAATGTGATAAGTTCTTACTAGTGCAATTAGCTCCATTTCTAAAAAACCCTTCGTTACATCGGCATTCAAAAGATCCTTCATTATCGGTGCAATTGGCATTGTCGTCACATGGACTCAACAAACATTCGTTGACATCTTCAAATCAAAATAAACAGTTAAGCAAACATGTTGTTGACTGTTTCCATATTAATAAACACTCTTTTATTGACTTTTAAAAAATGACAACGGCTATTTGCTTCATATTATAAAATTGCTGATAAGCTCTTACTTGTGCAATAAGTTCCATTTCCAGAATACCCTTCTTTACATTGGCATTCAAAAGATCCGTCATTGTCAGTACAGTTAGCATTGTCGTCACATGGATGAGACAGACATTCGTCGATATCTTAAAATGAGAATAAACAATCAAGAAAACATGTCGACTTTTACATTTTAATAAACACTCTTCACTTGACTATAAAAAGATGACAACCGCTAAGAATGTTGAATCATCTCTCAAAACTAATATCGACAGTCCTCAGGACTGCACCAACTTGAAAATTCATCATCCATAAGCTCACTGCATATTAATGTGATAAGTTCTTACTTGTGCAATTAGTTCCATTTCTAAAAAACCCTTCTTTACATCGGCATTCAAAAGATCCTTCATTATCGGTGCAATTGGCATTGTCGTCACATGGACTGAACAAACATTCGTTGACATCTTCAAATGAAAATAAATAGTTAAACAAACATGTTGTTGACTGTTTCCATATTAATAAACACTCTTTAATTGACTTTTTAAAAATGACCACGGCTATTTGCTACATATTATAAAATTGCTGATAAGCTCTTACTTGTGCAATAAGTTCCATTTCCAGAATACCCTTCTTTACATTGGCATTCAAAAGATCCGTCATTGTCAGTACAGTTAGCATTGTCGTCACATGGATGAGACAGACATTCGTCGATATCTTAAAATGAGAATAAACAATCAAGAAAACATGTAGACTTTTACATTTTAATAAACACTCTTAATTCACTTGACTATAAAAAGATGACAACCGCTAAGGATGTTAAAAACATCGCTCAAAACTAACATGAGTAGTCCTTCTCAAGAATGCATTAACCTAGACACTTATCATCCGTAAAATTGCTGCATTTTGATGTCCTAATAAGATCTTACTTGTGCAATTGATTCCATTTCCAGAATACCCTTCTTTACATTGGCATTTAAACGATCCATCTATATCCGTACAGTTGGCATTGGCATTGCATGAGTTGAACAGACATTTCTTAATATCTTAAATCAAATGAACAGGTTAAAAAAGTGTTTTGACACCATACTCTACAATGTGTCCTTTAATCCTCACTTGTACAAATGAATTTTTTTGGAGATATTTAGTTAGTAAAAAGTTTTTTAAGGAAGATGTTAGCGTAAAATGATCTCATGAATTCTTTTAGACAACGAAAAGCTTGATTTGACGTTGACAAGTTATAGGAATAATTTGTAAACAGCTCATGTTTGATGACAGCATTTTATCTTCAATACAGTTGCATTATGACGATTAAAATATCTTCGTAATTGTTGTGACAATATTTTTGTGACTAATAATGCCAGTAAACAACATTAAATATTTTGAAAAAATTGTCTGTTAAACACAGGTTTTTTGTTATTATTCGACAATTTTGGTGTTTTCGTCGGCTTAATAGAATTGATAAAGTGTCCGTTTAATACAGGGTGTCCGCTTAATTCAGGGCCCTATAATATTTACAGGTTTGACTATAATAACGCTTTGATAAAAAAATTGTCTTATTACTGTGTAAAACAGTTGAGCATCCAGCGTAAAGGTTTCAGTCCTGCTATGTAAATTTTAGAGGATGATCATTATATTCCTTTCTTTGAATATAATTGTTTTTGCGGTGACTAAACACATAACACTTTAAATAGCTTTTGTAAAAATACTGGCTGCTTACGCCACTTTGTTTATATAAAGTGTCATTAATGCGTAAAATCTATGATGACAAAGTAAATCCATGGTTAAAATAAGCAAAAGATCAAGCCATCTCAGATACGCAATCATACTGGTCAACAACATTTTAGACGGAAGCAAGATGGCGAGGCGTTTTGCTTGTCAAACATACACGTTATAACATGCAAAGTAAACAGCTTGGATTGCAAAATGTCAACGTTCGACATGTCTAGACTGCATGTTTAAAACAAATAAGTGCACGTCTTACATCAAGATTTTTATGTTTTGTCAAAATAATATCCTTTAGAAACTCTAATAAAGTGAGATTGGTGACAATGAAAAAACATTTATTACAATAACTGACAAAAATGTTATAAACGATGCAGTTTAACATGAGCACGAGGTATTGCGAACATTTCCAACGTTATCCTCTCACTTTTTTCTTTACAAATTTATCGTGTATGTATGACGTCAAAAACGCGGCGTTTAAGACGAAAAACAACGCACAAAATAGTCTATTCCCAACAATCGCTTGCAAATGGTAATATGTCTAATGGTTTCAATTTAAATGACGTATTACTTTACAAATAAAGACCATACCTGAAAATTTGCAAGTGTAACGCACAAGTAGCCATGTTCCTTTTGAACAATCAGATGATTTTGCAACGATTCCTTCTTCGCCCATATTGAAAGAACAATAGCTCTTTTCTTTGCACTTTTTTCTGCACCGACCTTGACAGTGATGATGACAAACATCCTTTTTCGTTTGACAACATCTTTGAGGGTACATAATTGATCAATTTACCAAATTCAGCCAATCGTACTTCAATCTTCGATGTACTGCATTGTTTATTACATTGCATTGTCATACTTCCCGAACTCAAAATTATTTTTTCACTCACTATAAAAATAAATTTAATAATTAAAAAAATATTGAACTCATATTTTAAAATAACATATTTGATTTGCGTGTTGACTTCTTTAGAAACTAGCCTTTTTCACTTACATATACAAAGATTACATTACAATTAAAAAATTGCAGTCTACCATAACAATCATAACCTGCCACGTTCTGGAAAGCACAGGTAACCATGACCTTAACAAATTAAAATCTCTTTCGAGGATGGAGTAACATGTATTTTGCAAACTATTGCAACAGCTTAATCATACTCTTACAACTTTATTAACAGCTTAATTTCTAACAAGGCCCTTGTTGAAGAGTTTAATAATTTGAAATCAATGAATTTTTGTACCATATTATTGATTCCAAATACATATTGCTCTAATGCTCTCCTCCTTTAATAAGATTATCACTCATCAAACTTTTAACCCCATAAAGCAAACTGAACAAACCAACACGTAATTACCATTAGCATATATTCCTTTGTGTGACAACCTACCGTAGTCAAATTTGCATGAGTTATTCACGCTACAAATATTTTCTGCAATAGTGACATTTTCATTTTCTTGAGGTTCCCATTTATTATTAGCAACAGATGAGCTACCAATGCACATTTTTCTTCCAGAATAGTCATCGTATTCCAAATTTCCATTCACAGTTGGTTGAAATTTTGAATTTGACGCAGTACAACGATTATTCGGTTGTAGTATTACGTCACATTTTTTGCCATTACAACTAAAATACAAAAAATACAGTGAATTTCAGGTCGGTTGCTGTTGCTGTAATTGGTAACAAACACACAATTGATTGAAAAATGAGTGTAGTGGTAATAATTTGCGTGCTTAGCCATCCATAGATAGCTATTTTAGAAGTATTTAGTGCATTATTATGACTGCCTTCAGTGGTTTATCAACGCCCAAGCTCGGTAGAATAAGAAATTTAGAACAAATAGCAAGAGGTAAGTTGAAGAAATAACGTCATTTAACCCTTGGTTTGTCAAAAAACAATCCCTTAGTTTCTGTATAAGTCAAAGTACAATATCAGAAGAAAAAAAAAGCAAATATATAGAGCTCTACCGTGAGTCTCGTTTTTCAACCGTAATAAAAAGACGCAATGCAAGTTTGAACTAAAGTCATCAATTATAGTCATGTTTCTTTTTCGAATAAAAAAATGAAACAAAAACTCACTCAATTGGTAAAATGCATTTTCCTGTAGCCGCATGATAAACTGGATGGTGCCTTGCTACCAAGAAGAAAACATTCTTTGAAGTGCAATCACGTGACCAAATAAGACGATCGCTTCCATCTTGCACATTTATGCAAAGTCCGTTAGCGTGTTGGATGGGGCCAAAATCTAAGAAATTTTAATGAATCGTGATCAATTTACGTCTTCATGCAAAGTTTAATGACCATCATAAAAATACTTTTTACAAACAAGGACGACTTTTGTTTTAGAAAAAATGAGGAATTTTTTCACATATGAAGAACAAAGCAATTTGAATGCATAATTTTTCATTTTACTGGAAAAGCATATGAAGAACAAAGCAATTTGAATGCATAATTTTTCATTTTACAGCATTAAGAGAGAGCTTGGGTACGGCAGGATAATTAGTTTTGCTCGTATTTTTTAATCAAATTTATACAAAATGTAAAAAAGTAAACTTGATGCATGTTTTGGGTAATTAGACGCGCTTTGTCAAAAGAAAAAAGGAAAAAAAGTAAATGTGAAATACAAACAATAATTCAACTTAAAAATTTTCTAAAATATTCTTTTAATGGTATTTTTAATGGTAATTTAGCAACTTATTGCTGGTTACGTTAAAGGGCATTATGTTACAAATGAAAAGTCTACCAACATTTGCCGAAAGAGAAAATGAGTAAAAAAGAAATCTAAAAAGGATTAGCTAAGAGGAAAAATTTTTTTAGTGTTAAGTCGACATTTGCTAACCTAAAACTTCCTATCAAGATTTGTGTGAATTAAGATATTCTTTTGAAATTATCGAAACGATCTTTGGCTGTATGTTCAAAAATTTATAGACGTGGACAAGTAAATCCAAGCTTTCTAAATTTCTTCTGATAGCTACGGAATTGAATTTTTGCCAGTCATGAATTTTTAAACGCCATGCTTTTGATTAAAAAAAGTATGATGGAAGCTTGTTTTTTCATTGAAAGTTATCAATATAACTAATTTTTTTAGACTGAAAACAGAGGAGAACTTTTCTGTTATCTATCTCCAATATAATGACTGTTATACTGCATATCTTGTTTTGAAAATTGGCATACTGCATTACTACTCAGTGTGGTGACTTGATGTGTCCACATTTTGGTCGAATGAAACTGTGATAATAAGTTTACTTCCAAAACAAGTCATAATGCTACCTTTCTCTTTAAAATAACATGGCGGACTCGCTGTCTGATTAAAGCAGCATGTTTTTGGGCAATCAGCTTCCAGTGCTGCTCTGTTACCACATTCAAACGAACGTCCTTCGAGGGCATCGCATAGAACAGCTATAAAACATGCAAATTCATAACAAAAAGTTTATCGCTTAACATGTCAAAATTTTACGCGAAAAGTCAAGTTATCTATTTCCTAAGATTAAAGTTTCTTTGTTTCATCTAGTCTTTTACACAACAGCATTTTGCCATTGGCAGTCATTCTTAGTACACTATACGACTATAGAAAATCCGAAGATTATTTGATAGAAAATTCATGTAAGCAGCTGGATAATTTGGGGTGGTGGAACATTTTAATGTTCATGTTTTGCTCTATTAGGTTCTTTTGAAATCAATTGTTTTATAAATTATCACATTATCACATTATCACAACGTATACTGTCGAAAACTTGCCGGACTACACCTGTCACCTGTATGCAATTGGTCATTACCTAGGAGGTCTTATATACGAATGAATTAATGAACCATAAATATTTGTACTGTCGTCGGACCCATATAATACGAAATTTTTAACATAACTTCCCAGTCAGACGACCAGAGTTTATGGCTTACCACAGGATTAGTTAACTTGTAAATAACAGTTCATTAAATAAAAATTGTAGCACTTCATGCATCGCCCACCAGCCACCTGTTGTGATACTATTTCATATTTGTTCTTAAGCAAACACTCTCAACCGTAATGAGGCTAAATTCTTCTTATTAGATTGCCATTTTTTAGTTTGTCAGTCATACAATTCGATCCCTTATCTGCTATAACACTTTCTCTCGATGCAAAAGGCTTGGTACTATAACTACATTCATGTAGAACAAGTGATCACGACTATAAAGTGATCTAGAGTAAGTCATCACGAGTAATTGATTTGGTTGAATCTACATTTCTAGAACACAGTATCTATAATTCATCAACAAACAATGGCAAGTGGAATGAAATAATACACCCTTTATAATGCGTACATTTATAGTGTAAAATGGCTGCTAATTACTAATGCTGACTTACCTTCACCAAACCGGCATAAATTGACCAACACGAAGACGTGTGCGAGAATCTCAATAAAATGCATCACGAAGTTGTTTCTTTTTCCTGCAATTTCGAACTTGATTAACAGTTGAAATCTCAAACACAATAGGTTTGATTGTCCCTTAGGCAAATGGATTCGAACAGTTATTTTTACAGTGATTTACAATATTTACGGTGAAAGCGATTTCTCTGCCTTCATTAATGCCACGACAAATTCAAAATCACAAGGAAGTTCAAGTCGTGTCGGGTACTTTGAGGTTTGGTCTCCCAAAGTTTTGCTAATTCCGGTTTCTGACGTGCGTTCAAAAATCTTTTGTATTGTATTAAGTAGACAATCCATGCAAAACGAAGACGGTTTCAAATTAAGGAAAATCAATTTTGAATGATTTGTTCTACGTTCATCGTTTCTTTCATTGAACTTTCTTATTTAGGAATAAAAGAAGCAAGGTTTCCTCTTCTTTTACATTATATTTAATTTTGAACAAACTTTGGTTATATTGATCGCCGTTTACGTTCAAACATTGCGTGAGTAATATTCGCACCCACTATAAGTCATCAAACCGTGTGATTGCTTGTTGCACTTGCTTCCTTATTTGGTCGGTATATCGAGTGTTAAAAATGATCATAAATTGTAAGTGATGAGAATAAAAAGTTGAGGTTATATGAGTCAAAAGTTCAGAAGAAAATTATAAATGTTGATATTTTGTTAAAACTAACGTTTAGTTACCTGCACATACACAAGAAGTTCTTAGTCATATTTAAAGTTTAACGTTGCCGAAGATATTAAGAGTATTGGGCTGCAGCCAAATGCTGACTTAGGAACAGTGACCATGCATGGCAGAATGAAAACAAACTTTTGTTTTCAAACTGGTTTGATTGCCTGTTCAGAAGGAAACTGGTTTTTCTACGTTTTCAGCAAAATCGATAGGCGTAGGTCATTTTGAAATACTTATTGTTTGAGTAGGCAATTTATCCGAATACGCGTCACCGCATGTTCCTCCGTTATAAATATCCGGTGCTTGTTAACACGATACTTTACCTAATTTCATCTTGTTCTTGCTTCATATCCTAATGTCCTTTACTTCAATGTTTCACAAAAAACATTAGCATGTTTGTAGTATAGCTAGCGATACCAACAAAAATAAACATGATTTTCATATTTTAAAAATTGGAAAAGAATCAAACCCTTTAAGTATAAAATGCTGCAAGAATACAATTTATCGTCGTTGATCTGAGTTAATGACCGTCGAGGAAATCCTTTTCATTAATTAGGATTGAATTGCGTGATGCTCTATTTAATATATGCCCAACTTCTATTACCATAGAAATGATAGTGAAGAAAGATGGCAATAATTGATATTTATACGTCAAAAAAGCCCATAATTTATGTCTCGAGCCATTTGCATTGATCATAAGCCATTTTCTAATATAATCAAAAATAAACTTGCCACGGCTAAAGTTAGAAGATGATTGTTGCATATATTAGCTAGTTCCACGAAGTAGCCTAGAAGGAAAGGTCCTGTTCAGTTTCCTAGGCAGTCTTATATTTAAAGACACAGGGCAAACCGGTTTACTGCAAATTTTCAGGCGGACTAAATTCCAAATTACTAATTTCATTCATAAAAACTACAAATGTATTTATACAGGGAGCTAGAGCACTCTTTATTAATTAAGTTCTACAAACCACGTCATTGACAACAATTGTATATCCTTAATTTTACGATTACACAAGAAGCAACTAACCTTACCGAGAAGTTTGTACTTCCGCACTAATGCTTCCTTAAAAATGCCACTTCACACAAATAAATAGAACCACAGCTAGCTTGTAAATTTAATCTAATATAAACAAATAGAAAATTGCCTTGTCTCTTTTTTTCAAATATCGGGTTCAAATTAGAATTCTTATGTGTGAACTGATATATGTATGAACAGCAAAAAGTTCTGTTCACTGGAGTTTATGTAAAAAATTCATGCTATGAGGAAAATTTGGTAGTTTGGTAATTTTTGAGCAAAACAGTGGTTAAGACATTTCTTCATCATTGACGCGTTTTTTTCGCTCTTTGGTTTACATGCTGCTTTACGATTCACAATTACTGGTAAGACCCTGTCCACAATAATGCGTTTTCGAAACGCATCGTTTTAATGCACCCGCACCAGCGTTTTAATAGCGTTTTCGGTTGTCCACACTAAAACTTTTGAGAACGATGAATGTGTAATATATTTAAGTGCGCATGGTTATACATAAAACGCCCACGGTTGTTATGAAATATTGTTATAAAACGCCCACGGTTGTTATGACATTTGTCGCCATTTCAGGTGTGCCATTGACGTCATCGTTTTTAAAACTCTAAAAGCGATAAAAAGCTCTTTCAGTTGATCAATCGAATCTCAAACTTTCATAAAAACAAAATGCGTACATCAAACGTTTGCCGAAATTGCCGTTTTGGTCGACCAATTGCATTTTGAATGCACTTATATGCTATTTTTATTCAACTTTTAGCAGTTGTTTAACGTATCTACCACAAACAACATAACCGTTAGAGTCCTGTTCCACCGGAAACTCATTCCCTTTGGGTGGTCGGTATCACAGAAAAGGAGATGTATTACGGTTATAGGAATTTCCGCAGATGCCAGCCACCAAAAAAGGTAATTCATATTTACTGAATCGGACAGATGGACCATGTCAAAGTAGTGCTATTCAACCTACCGAAATTACTAGGCAAACTGGGACAACAAACTCCAAATTTAATTTATTTTGATACTCAGCCAACAGCAAGAATTAGTTCCATATCCTTTGTGTAGCTCCAAGTGATATGGTAACGATGATCAATGGAATACCTAGAACTAAAAGAAGTTTGTCTAATGGACAATAAATAAATTTTAAAGATTAACATGTCAACAAGAAATCCTTCGCATAGCATCCAGCCAAATGCAGACAGCAAAAAAAATGTAAAATAGCTGCGACTGTTTTACAGAAATCCTGCAAGATAGAACACATATAATTGTTTTAAAATGTCTTTACTATTAGAAAAACGTTGTATAATTATTTACTACAATTTTTTATTTTCCCAAGCTTTCTTACGAGAAGAACTTATATAGCTATGAAGGAAAATTTTGTTTATGAAGGGGTTGTACACCATAGTTTACCAAAACAAACAACAAGCATTTTCAAATTAGGATCATCAGCAACCAGTCACTTATTTAATTAACAGCTTTCAACATCTGTTACAACTTGTTTTTATGAACAGCACTTGCCCTATTCGAAAATGTAAGATTGTGCTTTACAGAGTAGGTTTAACATAAAAGAATGATTTAAACTAAATCATAAAATTTTACCGTGCTCCTTTTGGAGACTCCCTCCAATATAGCAAAGATGTCGGTAAAACCAATTGTAATGCAAAGATTAATCAAAACTATACATCGAGGTGATTTTACATACTTCCAGAAACACACGTACATAAAGACTGTAAAAACTATAACAAAAATTGATACTGAACACCCAATGTTTGAGATGTATTGTAAAGCTTTCAGATGTGTCTTCTACAAAGATAAAAGAAATATTTACCATTCACCTTGACAGATTAAGAAAACTTTAGCCCTGGATATGGCAGTCTAACAAAAAAAAACTTAAAAATAATCGAAATCTGGTTTATAAATGGCTTTCTATTATGACGTAGCTTATTGACGTGAAAATTTCAAAATTCTTGAAGAGTGAAGAGAAATTTAGTGAACATGGAAAAATTTCAAAAAAAATTAATGAGCTACCTGCACTTCTATCCTAGCTAAACACAAGAGGAGTGCATCATGACTGCAAACGCTGTGTTATTATCACAATCTCAAGTGACTTTGAAATCTAAAGATTTTGCTTCGTTTAATTCACATCCTTTACGGCTCCACTTGCTATTGTTTTTATTTGGTTCAATAAATACACACTGTCTTACAGGATCAACAAAACCACTCTATATCAACGTTGAAAAGTCTTAATCTGTGAAAAAAAATGGAAAAGACTTCATCATTAAACTAAATACAAACCTAATTGTTTCGTATGATAACTTCAATATGTTGTGTAACATTAAGAAATTTTGGTGTGGTGACAAAAGAGATTATGGTGCTCTGGATAGTCAGATTCTTGCTGCCCTGTATCGTGCTAGCGACATATTTTTGTAAATCCTCAAGCATTAGAATATCCTTGATTGACAAGTATTTCAAAGAAGTCAGTTGTTCAATACCGTCAATAACAATCCTGCGAAATTTAACACCTTCGCCGCCAGAAACTGCCAGAATAACCTCTCCTGACTCAAATTCTATATTTTGAAATATTCTTATACGAAGGAGTTTAATATTCGCCGTTATGAATGAAACTTCTTCCCCCAGTTTTCCATCTTGAGCAACAAATTTTTTAGCGTTATGGTCTACACCTGTGATAATTTGTCTTGCCAAAGTATTTCTTTCCTAGTAAAAAGTGAATTTTTTTATCATTAAAGCTTATATACGATACATATAAACAATGACCTTTATATAAAGGACATGATTCATGTTGTATAATCTTATACCAATAGTATATAGCTTTATCTTATATGTTAATGAAAAAATGGTTTCCTCATACAAACAGTGGACAAGAAAAAATGCTCCCCCCCCCCGCTATAAAAATTACATAGTAACTTACAAATATCAATAGTTTACTTGATGATAAAGAAACTGTTTTATTGTAGCTTACATAGTCTGTGCATGAAATTTATGGAAAGAAGGTTTATGAAGTATCTTTAATTCTGTGTGTTGCAACAATGACCTCAAACATGCAAGTGGAGTTGTTTGAAAATACGTCACAATCTATAAAAATTTTACGTGATGTAATAGCCAACTCAGTCACAAGACTTGCACCTTGTGGAAAACGTATTACCAATAAATTTTTCATGAGAAGAAATTCTTTATCCTAAACAAAGTTTATGGAATAGTTCAAACAATTTATCAACTGTACGGTACGTGTACTTGAAAAAGTGTTCGTTCGTTTAGTAATCGACATATTATAAAAAATTGCGCGGAATCGCCTTGTATATTCGTTTTATAACGTTTTAGTTCGACGTTGGTGCCTCTATCCAATGGTTCTTATACTAAACTAAACTTGTGATTAGACCGATTTATCTTGGTTTATCATCAGCACGATGCACTGACTTCGCTGCAAGCTTATGTAGGTATTGCATAAAGCACTTAACTCTCAAAACTTTCTCTTTTGATCTTGTCTATACATCTTGTACACTTATTTTGTTGGTTCACAGGCAGAATTTTGGCACATCTCTGAACAAACTCGGGAAAGCAAATCAATCGCTGTGTTTATTAGGATACACAAATTGCAGTACTTTAATATCATATTCAAATGTGTATTATAAAAAAGCATAAGGCATGGTCACGCCACAGTGTAGTGAATATACATGCAGTAGAACCATTCATTGAAATTTTTCGTACCACGCATATCTCATTACGCATGTGATTACCGTAGTGGTAGCGAGTCAATTCATTTTTTTGTAATCTAATTAAATATGCAGCAGACAGCTGCACACGAAGTGGACCTACTGTATATACCCTATACTGTGATTCACGCTGTTAAAATTCTACAACACTTTATTTTCTTTTTCTTCAGAGTTTTACAAAGACAAAGAGGTCCAATTATTCTATTCAGTCCAATTATTCTATTCAGTCCAATTATTCTTTGTTCTTCATTAAGCGTATATTTAAGTCTTTTCTTTATAGCTACTTGTGCTTATGTCGATGCTTATGGTATGCTTTGTTAATTGGTTATCTTATTTAATATTTTGTCTATATGCTTGTGCTTATGATTATTTCAATCTTGTGAATCAAACTTAAATGACAAAACCTAAATGCCTTTTTAAAAGGTTTACAAAAGCAAACATATTGTAAATTCATCATAGCAACAAGTAAATATTTTTTCTTCATGAATATCTTTCATCAAACCAGTGGAATCAAGTGTTCTGATAGTGGTGAGTTGGAATAACGTTTGGAACAACGTCATCGTAGGTCGAGTCATCGTCACTGGTATTCAAGGATTGGTAGTCATCTTTTTCATCTCTTTTTGATTCATCTAGATTTTCGTAATTTCCGTCAAGCTCTTCATCGTTTCTCGTCAAATAAACATTTCTAACTCTTGTTAGATCCAACTCTTCGTAACTTGCATCTAATGCATTGTGCGTTTTCTTTTCTTCAGTATCTGATTGGGGTCGTTTTTTTCTTCTGTTCGAACATCGCCGACAACAAAATCGGAAGATCAAACACGTAAGAATGCCAATTATAACTCCCACTATTAGCAGTATAGCAATAATATACCATTTCATCTTAACTTCCTTCAAGTTTAATTTTTCTATAACAGGGAACACAAAGCAAAACGAAAGGTAATTGGACACTGAAGATTACCTTATTTTTGATAAGCTGTAAGAAATTAGCTAATAGCCTTTTCAAACTTCTTAAAATTCTTAATAAAAAAATCTTTGTTTCAAAAATCTTTTGATGTACTTCAGTTTTAGTTTTATTAAAGGTGTTTTGAGTAATCCTGTTTAACAGAAAGCATTGACTATATTATAGCAATTATTATCAAGCCTATAAGTTGTCTCCTGCAAAAAAACAAACTATATGAAGTCTTGGACCCAATAATTTAATTGGGGTCAATGCAATAATGACGGCTGTTTTTGCTGTTTTCGTATGACCATTTCTCATGTTGCTGTCTATTTCCAGGTTTCTACATGGTGTATTGTAAAACTAAAAAGTTTGGAATATCTGGCTAAATTTATCTGCACGCACGGTTTGCATAAACCTTTAGTAAATGAGCCTGAGAAGTCCCACGTTAGCGTTGGTGTTCACTGACATTAGAACAGCAGGTTTGCTGCTTACTCCATACTTTAAACTGAAGAAGACAACCGCTGACTGATGATGTCGAAACGTCAGTCAAAACCAACACCAACACTAATAGTCCTTCTCAGGACTTAACTTACTTCGACAATCTACATCTGCAAGCATGTGACGATACATCTGTGCTCAAAACATTGTTTCCTAATCAAGAAAATACTGTGATAATAAAACCTATTTTTGTCTTTCCTCAATTCATGATAATGTTCTATCTACAACTGCTTCTCTTATAGAAAACAGCGTCAAAGTGTAATGTAAAGAGATAGTTTCTCTTACCAAAATAACCCTTATACTTGTAGCTATACGACACCATCATGTTTAAGGTTGAAGGCGTAAGAGATAAGTTTGTGGCCATAAGTTTACCTGTCTTGATGACATCCATCCACTCAGAATCGTAATACAAATTCTAAGAAAAAAAATCAGTCAACAAATTGAAGCAATAAGCCAATATCTTCAAGATCTTCAGTCTGTGTAAGGCAAAACTTGTAATATTAGAAGAAAGTGTATCTATTTTGTGAATTGTTGACACCATCTATGCAGAGTTTTCTTGACTTATGTTTTGACGCAGGTCTGGTGAAATGGACCATCAGGATGATAAGACAAGGAAATAATAGAAGGAAACCTAAAAAAGCTTAACACATTTTAAATTTGCAACCATTCATAGCAATGGCGGAACTAGGGTTAGTCAAAATGAATTACTTCAGCACATTTTGGCATATAACCTTTGAAGCATATCATTAGTGAAATTATATTCTTTAGAAATTCAAAACCAATAGTGTTTTTCTGAAAGTACTTTGAATTTAAAATTAATAATTTATTTTGACTAACGCTGGATCCTCTACTGATTCATAGTAAATGCTATATTTTAGCATATCTTGCTAACTTTGTATAATAGAATTGCATTTAATTCTTCAAATGAAAATCAAAAAAGACGTGGCCTTAGATAATTAGTACATAGAGAAATCTCAACGATGCGAAGTTTTAGTGGACGTCTTCCTGTCTTCAGAGCACCATAAGTAAGTCTGAGAGAGAAATAAACTATTTTACTACGAAAAACTATCTGAATTAGCATTTTTTAAAACAAAGTTAATAAAAACACTTGAATAGTCAATGAACATTAGTAGTACAGCCTTAAATAATTTTTGAAATCAAGGCTTTTTTTTGCTATGTTTGCCATAAAAGCTTATCGAATAGAAATGATCGGTTTCTTGTTCTTGGTATGAGACAACTCAAAGAGGAAAAAAAATAAGGAAAGCATCTTTAAGTCAAATCTCCAATCGTTGCAGATGACAATGCCAAACAGTGCTGAAATGTTCTAAACTACTTCTAAAATACTTATAAGCAGTTTTGATTATAATGTATCAAATAAAATATTTTGGTAATTTCATGCAAAAAAAAGAAGAAGAATTACATACATCATTCTTGAACATCCTTTGAAACACAGAGTAAAACGTGTCCGGCTGAAGTATGACGTTTTGATACGAAACAATGTTTTGTACTCCTCTTGTTGAGATATTGTACTTTTTTCCATCCCCAACAGTGAAGGTTCTAACCTCATACACACGTGATGCACTAAACATAGCCGCGACGTAGACATAACTTTCATTAGAAAAATTGTTCCTTTTATAAGCCTCAAGCACAGCATCGTGATGATTCTTAGGTTTCTTGAAGGAAGAAAGCATTGCAACAACAACTTGAACGTGCCTGAAATTTTTATTTCAAAAAAGGAATATTTATTTAGGAATTCATTTACATTGCTGTTCTCTGCGGTACATAAAAATCCATAGAAATAATATTGTTGATTAATACACTGTAGTAACATTGTTAGGTGTCATCTAATGTTTAAACGTAAGCCCTTATAAACTGCAGTCAGTGTTTTTATCAAACATCAGACTGATAATGAGATTGATACTTCTTATGCATAAGCCATTCTAGCTTGCTTTTTCAATCGCTTCTTATACCTTCAATTGCTTTTACACACATACAAATAAAGGATCTATTTTTGTAACTAGGATCTTACACGTCATCATCGTGGGGCAAGCCAAGATTGACGTCAAAAGATGTCGCCGATCTTTTTCCTGTAGCATTAATTGCAGCTGAAATATTCAAAAACATAAATAAGAATAAGAATACCATGGACGATAATATTCATATATGTTTTTTGTAAACTAATATACAATCAAAATTACCCTTTGAAAGAATACGACTACAATTTTCTCATTCGATTATTTATTTCAACTGGTCAGTGGCTTAACTATGAGCTCTGGATGGGCAGAGCCACGGGCGCAAAAGCAATCACCTTGTAAGGGGGCGCACTGATCGGTGTTATTTATGAAAACAAAGATAAAAAATAGGTTTATATTTGGGTAATTTGGAGCAGTAGATATTTCTCATTGAAGATTATTCGTAAGTTCGTGTTCATGTCAGTAAATTGAAAGTTTTATACTGTATTTTTCTACATATTAATTAAAAACCAGTTAATAATATGTTCTGTTATCCTTTATTAATTATTATTATTATGTTGCAAGCTTCACTTCCGGCTAAATGGCGCGCTTTGATTGGCTCAGAAACATTTTTGCTGGTCCATAATTTTCCCGTAATCGACCACGGACCAAGAACGCGTAATTTTACAGTCAAGTGTAAACAAACTTCGTAAAGCAAGCAGCATAGCGCAAAATAAAGCTCGACCTCAAGCTCGGTCATTAAGGGCTTAGAAATATGTTTATGTTGTCATATTTTGGTGGAGGGGGAGCTTCTCATTCTTAATGGACCACGGGCAGCCCGGTTGAAACTTACGCCACTGCACCTGTTTTCCCATTTCAACATTTTTATAGGTAAAACAACATGAATTACACAAAAATAATCTTTGTTCAATAAAGAATATACAAAGCAAACATAATAATTGTATCATATGACATAAATACAGTTTCGTTGCCAGGTTTAGATTAGAGGAACGTTTCAAGCGTTAATTGGCATAGATGCTCAAAGGAAACTACTTATTTACTTTTTTATGGGCCCATTCACAGAAAGCAATTTTTCAAATGGCTGTATGTGAGTGGATTCGTTTTCTTTTATCCGACATCCCTGTTTCTCATTAGATTTGGAACAATATTAATAGGTCTTTAAAATGATGTTACCATAATTTCGTAAAAACGCTATCGCTAATGCGCATTTAATGTAGACCACAAACGTTTTGAAAACAGACATGTTTCGACATCTCATGATGCCATCTTCAGTACTAGTGAGTAATTACACAAATAATAAAAAGTTTATATAAAAGGAATATGGTACAGTAACATAAATATATAACTATGAATAAATTATAACAATAATAAGGAAATCAGATAAATAAATGCAGAACGTGTTACAAACTAAATATTGTGTTGAATTTAAAAACTTGAACATTGAGGTCAGTCATACTGAAAATGGCATCATGAGATGTCGAAACGTGTCTATTTTGAAAAAAATTGTGGTCTTCAGAATAAATTGAAGAGGAGAAGCTTCAGCTCCTTCCAGTTTCTCAAAGTTTCCTCCTTGGTAGCATCACTGTTTGAATTCTGTAAATGATTACTTTGACGGGATCTCTGAGCGCGTGCAATTAATATAGCTGTGTAAAAAGTGACTTTCTTACCTGAGCGAGTAATGCCAAACTTTGATTCGGAATAATCAAGATTTGTACCATCATCACCACATCTAGTTATCACAACGTTATATTTTGTCGCTGATAATAATCCATATATGATCTCATTTCGATATGGATCAGGCAATGTCGACTTCAAGGAAAGGCACCGTTTCATGGTTGGTTCATCACTGACTACGTTCCAACACATTTGAAAATTCGAAGCTGCGTATTTTGGATTACTCGAAAAAGAGATGAGGAGTTTTGTTTGGCTGATTGCTTTATACTCTTTATTTGAGGGTTACCTATTTTAAAAATCAAATTAGCAAAGCTAGAGTGTTAAAATGGCAATCGATTTTAAATGTAATTGATCAAACTTTCGAAATGTCGCTGGACTTTGTTACAATATTCATTCTTAATCAAGAGAATGCGGTAGCGCAAACGTCTAATTTACCCATCCCGTGACGTCCACTGCGAAACAGAAACTTGAAGTAGAACAAAACGAAACAGAGACATTTTTTCAACACTTCTTTAGAGAATACTTGAAGTTTTGCGGAATGCAGCTGTCATACGATGCAACGCCATTGCTTGGGTAAATTAATAAATCAGACATCAAAAAAACTTCTTTCAGAGAAAAATTTCGATTTAACAAAATATGTTTGAAACGACAAAATTTTGTTTGTTTCGCCTACGTAGCCATTGCAATCGAGAAATTATTTTGCAGTCTACTTGCATAAAAAGACTGTCGACTAAATTATACTTCCTCCATGCAACTTTGCTTTCGTCACTATGAAAACTACAGCTAGATCTCTATAGATATGAATAATGATTATGTTCTTAAGTTTTCATACAAAAATTAAGCTTGCTTACAATGCTGGTTCTTTTGTTTTATTTCTATTCCATGTCATATTCACATTATAAAACGTATAAGAAAAATCACAATACCTGGATTTTGCAAGTGTAACGAACTAGTAATTTCAAAGATTCCCCACATTGATTGGGAGAAAGCAAAAAGTCACTTTTCCTTATGGGAAAATGACAATGACTTTTGTCATCACAGTCAGTTTTTACAACATTCAACGCTGATGATGATAGACAATCTTTCTTAGTCAATGATATCCTATATGGTTTACTATCTGGGCCACTATCTTTCATCAAAACACCAAAGTCAGCTGATCGCACATCGATGACCCAATCAGAGCATGATTCAGAGCAATTGATGGTTAAGTGGTCTCCATCGTTGAATTTTTTTTCGTATACTAAAAAGAATAATGTGTGTAATTATTTATAAAGAAAAAATTTCCAATCAAATTTTGTATTCAGCTAGTTGCACTTCGACCTTCAAAATAAAAGCTGATGCATCATGCAATAAATTACTAATATGTTTACCTTCCTTTATAATCTCTACTACATTACGATCGATAGAAATACCAGAAACAAGTTTTAAAAATAACAACTTGTGTTATTAAGGTTACTTAACGTCTTCTATATTTTTAACACACCAAATGTTTTTTCCAAGCGTACAGAATTTGACAGCAGGTGAGATGACTCAAACCCTAACAATCAATTTCACTGGCAAAAGCGGGAAGTAAATGCAAAATGTGACAAATTAGGAACTAGTGAAAAGCCACAACTACTGGAGTGTCAAAAAGGCCCACAATTGCTATACATGATATCCATTTTTTCATAATATAAAAAGGTATCTAATTTGAGGGATTTGAGAAGACTGCATATAGTCGTGACTATCGGTACCTCATTGTCTCACTGGTGGAAATTAAATAGCTGCATAAAAGCTTAAAATATAAAATTAACTTCCACAGTTATTTTATCAAATTTTTTAAAAATGCTACAACTGTTCTTTCTACCAATTACATTACCATACCTATACCTCGTGGACTAACTATCCTGGCGTTGCCATATGACCAGAGGCGTAACTTGAACGTTAAAGGAGGGGTGTATATTCATATATTCAGTTGTGCCGTAGTAATTCAAATCACTTTCAAAAGAAATCAGTAGGGCACAACGGAATATATGAATATGCACACCCCCACACCCCCCCAATTAACGTTTTAGTTACGCCTCTGCATTTGACAACATAAAGTAAACCATCCAAAATGCGATGGACAAAAAGTTATAATAACAACAACATATCACACGTGCAGTGCACCCCCGTGAAAAAGCTTTCCTATTTCGCGTCACGCAACCGTCCAATGAGCTTCATATGATGTAAATCAGTTAGGTGGAAAAGGTTACAATTTTTTTTAATAAAACTTGACAAAACAAAAATATGATACAATTGTATTTTTGTTTACTCAATTGTATGATACTTAGCCGTATGGCAACATTAAGGAAACCATCCAAAATGAGAGGGACCAAAACAGTTTGAAAGTAAAGGGTTAAAGTAATGGCTAAGTGGACTGCGATGAGGTTGTCAAAAACATGGATGCCAAAAAACCTATTTTCGCTGAAATGTTCGCTTGGCAGAAAATATATTCTCGACCTTCCCCTGTTGTGTACAGTCAATTATATAGAGATTTTTAAAAACAAACACGATGTCTTTTTGGAATTTCTTTTATAATGCCAACCCTTCAATTGTTCAATTGTTGGATGTCGTGGTTTACACAAAAATGGGCATCTGGCATTTTGCAGGTGAGATATTTGCTTGTTTTGTGTATTCATCAAATATTGAAAAGCAATTATGCACTTGTAAAGCCATAAAATCCATAAGATCGTATATTTTAAGACAGACTTGAACATCAAATATAAAAAAAAGAGCCGCACATTCTAGTCAGTTGGTAGATATCCATCCAAAGGAAACGATCAAGCCAAACAGTACCCATGATTTGGAGCAGAGCTTGTAATGTTCTATTTGCTGACGAGATGCAGGGAAGATCAAGTAGTAAAGATGACTGGAAGATGCTATTGACCAGGCGGAGTCTTTATAGATTTTATACAAAAAAAAATGATACTGAAAAGATAAATGATTTATTGCCATCCCTATCCAGAATAGTTTAATTTTATCATAGTCAAATTCTATGGATGAAGACAATGGATTCACTTGGATGAAGACAAATATCTTTGCATGCTTTGAAATTAAAGTTCAAGTACCAAAGAAAGATGGCAAGAAGGTTGTCTGTGTTTTGATGCTTGATGAGATGAGATGTCAATTCACAAACATGTAAAATGGGATGGCCATAAGGTTTGTGTTTATGTAAACAGTGGCACTGAGATTGATGATGACTCAATGCAGATGTGAATCTTCAAGCTATATAATCCATTTGGTTTTATGTAACTTAATGGTTAAGTCATGTCATATCATTATCAAAATATTTTAGTATACTATTAGTACACTCTATAGAGTGTTGTTTGAATGTTAATGATATCTAATACATTATGCATGCTATACTGAAGCATTAAAGATTCAGCAATGAAATCTTTAAAGTTACTGTGCTATGTATTTCTTCCTTATTTCAGTTTTTGTTATAAGAAACAGTTTGAGCTTATTCGCCTATTAGAGTAAAGAATCGAGATACATCATTTGCACTATTTGCAGCTTCTTATATAGTAATTTTTTTGACTTTTTAAAGTTTTTCTTTAATTCTTTGCTTCTTAATTCTTTTCATGTGATGGATGGGATAGAGGCAGTATAATTTGTTTACTTTGTAATTTCTAAAAAGCTTTAAAGCTTCTATCATAAAATTACACAAAATGTTTTCAATTCATTTGGTTAAAATGCCTTACTATAACATATCTACATGCACTTGATTTTTCTTGTATGAAAAGCATTAGATGTTGAATACTCACATGAAAAAATCCACTACCAACTGCCTATGAAATTTATTATTGAGGTGAAAAATGTATTAATCGTTCAAATTGTGCACTTACATTGCAAAAATAGGAAAGACAAAATAAAGAGAAAAAGTAAAGTAGAAGTATTAAAACCTTTTCAAGCACAATTATTTTGATGATTATTTTTATTTTGCCATATTCATATATCAATACAACAAAATTGAAATGGGGTACAACTTTACAAGTATTTTAATGCAGTCCCATTTCAGAACACCACAAAAGCTTACTTAGAGATTTGTATACAATATTATTTGTTCTCATTTAGTAAACTGATGCAAAAGTGTGTCTTTTGAAATTTAATATGAACTTCAATGACAGAAAATCATGTACATTAAGTCAAACTGTAAATATCTAAAGATGTATTATTTATTTTTATAAAGCAACAAGTACAAAGCTTACGATTGGGGCGAAAAAAGCCATCGCCCAATGCATGAAAAAAAGGTAATGATAAGAAATACACTAATTTTTCCTTCGTGAACTGTGGAAATAAACCATGATATGCTTTTTTGTATAGACTAAAAGTTAAATCGAGTAAGCATGTTGGACATGCTGGTAATAAAACGACGCACATCTGCACCCTTATGTAACACCCAAATAGCTTCTTCGCCGACAGTTCTAACAAACATCCTCGTATGAGCCGATTTTCAACGTAAAATTGCTTGCCTAGTGTCAAATACATACATATTTTCTCTTTGCTCTTTCTTCGCGGGGGGAGGGTGAAAATTGTGAAATTTTTGGAAAAACAGTAATTATCGGTAAATCTCAGCGAAAATAGGTCCATTCCACCATTTTTTCGACAACCTTCGACATCTAAAACTGCGCTTGAGAAAGCCGCTCCAGTTATTATAGAACTCAATGGTTAAAGTAATATCAACTTATACAGTTGACAGGTAAATATATCAGGGGTAATCAGTGGACTCATACCAATCCTACTGCAGACTCCTTTAATTCATACATGCAGTAACATGTTAGTTAAATGAATAGCGTCAAAGACTATATAGGGAAATTAGCAATATAATCCATTTCTGCTTGAATATGCAACAGTTGCAAGCATTCTCAAACACTTTTAACAAATGAGGTTATTATTGATTACATAATTTCATAAACCAAATTAAGTTGAATTTCATCTAGCATTTGGTATTTCATGAAGATGCCCAGACTCACTCGCCTTCGTGGTTAGACTTACCGTAGTTAAGTTTGCACGAATTATTCACTTTACATATATTTTCCACAATACTGACATTCTCATTTTCTCGAGGCTCCCATTCACCACCACTGACTACAGATGAACTGCCAATGCAGATGTCGTATGGATGATTGAGATAGTAATATTTCAAATTTCCATTCATAGTTGGTTGATATATTCCTGCGTTTTCACTGCAAGATGTACTGTTTGTAATTATAAGAGAAACATTTTTGCCAGGGTCGCTGAGGTTAGAAAAGAAAATATAACTAGAAAAAGAATTAAACGTGAGAATCAGAGACATTGTAAATTAAGTTCAAAATTTGATCATGCTTTCCAATAAATCCTTCAAAATTGCTTGAAAGTTCTTCAAAATGGCTTGAAAGTGCTTAGCATTATTTCCTAAGGTTTCATTTACTAGGACTTAAGATGACGTCATGTCATTTTATCGTCATTTGGAAACCAACAACAAACAACTGGTTGAGCAATAGAGCCATTGTGCTCGACGCAACATGCGTGAGGACAAAATATCAAAGATTCTGGCACACACGTGACACTTCTTCATAATCTAAGTAATTAATACATTTTATCATTTAGTTTATTATAATTTAAGTTCCGACCGTTGTTCTTAGTTAGAACTACCTGGTCTATAATCATTCACCATGACAAATACACTCTTCATAGCAGTAGATAAAGGAAAATGAGGACTTTGTATGTCATGATGTCAGATGCTCTTTTTTCAAGATGCATTGAAAAGCATATGACTGTGCCGTGTTGCGCCGTGTGTTTTCAATACAGAGCATAATTGAGAAATATAGCAGGCAACGATGAGGAAGATGATACAAATAAAACTAACTTTGTACATAAGGTTGTACATAAATCATAAATTTTAATGCAGCCTTACGTCATTGGTAGTATGCATTTCTTTGTGACCATATGATACGGTGGATAGTAACTTGACACCAAAAAGAAGGCATTTCTTGAAGTGCAATCACGTGACCAATATAGAAAATTACTCTGATTTCCTACGTTGACGCAAAGTCCATTCATATGCTGTATAGGACCGTAACCTAAATGAAAACATTGCAACGTTTCCTTCAACAGAAAGGAAAGACAAATAAAAATTACCAATATACTTAAATTTTCTAGTGCCAGACAAACACTCTGCTAAAAGGAAACTCTACTGTCTACACAGAATACATAGATCAGCGTCCCCAAGCAGTATTACAATCCCATTAAAGCACATAAAAAGAGATTTTTTGATACTCCCTGTTTTACCTATTTTTGAAACGGCTTTTTCTCGTTCAAATTGTTTCAGTCCAGAGACACTGTATGAAGAACCTGTAAACAAAAGACAACAACACTAAAGCACTGCAAAAAGTAAAACCTTTTTCTCAAGTTATACGTAAAGAATCCTGTAGAAATCGAGAATTTGTTTAAATATATTTGACTCTGTGACTCTTTTTATATCTTTGTTTGAATTTCTGAGTAGCAACAAATTTAAAAACGTCTAATAAAGACGACGATTTTTTAAAAAGCAAACATGTTTCGACATTAACAAAATGCCATCTTCAGTGTGAATGATTGTGTTACGAAATATGATACAGTATAGGAAGATATGAATAATATTATTTACACTGAATGGGAGTACGATCTATTTAAAGTAAGTTTAAAACAAAAATATATATATAAATGAATCAGTATTTACATTAGAAATGGTAATAAATGAAATTAGACCTATTATAAATGGTGATAAATGAAATATTATAAAGTAAAGATAGTCTTTTAATGATGAATTTCAACATTTAGATCAGGATTAGTTTTATTGATACACGTTTTAGCAAACGTGTTTTGACATTAACAAAATGCCATCTTCAGTGCGAATGATAGTGTTACGAAATATGATACAGGATAAGAAGATATAAATAAATTATTTGCATTGAATGCGAGTGTGATCGATTTAAAGTAAGTTTAAAACGAAAAAAATGTATTGAAATATATTAGTATTTACATTAGAAATAGTGATAAATGAAATTAGACCTATTATAAATGGTGATAAAAATGAGATTAGACCTATTATAAAGTATAGATAGTGTTTTAATGATGAATTTGAACATTTAGATTAGGATTAGTTTTATTAATGCGAAGAGCTTCTTTGATTTTGAAAGAGTAAGTTGATTAATCGGTGACAATGATTTTAAAGCAAGAAGTTGGAAATTTATTTTTACAAGAATTTTTAAAATTTATTTTTAAACATTTGTCTTATATCAGAGCACGGAAAAATGAACAGCATAGAAATTGGTTTTCAACATGACTTAAAGAAACTAATTTTCACCTTACAACGTAATTCTTTTCCTTTACATTTCATCAACAATACAATACAACGCTACTTAAAGAAAAACAAAAGAACTGACACGTCTAATTCACAACTAACCCTGACGATGGACAACAACCTGATAGCAAGCGTTTTTTCAAACTACCGTATATAGGTGATTACTCACTACACACTCAACGCAAACTTACACAAATCATTAAACGTTATTGTACGGAAATTGAAATTAAACTCATTTTTACACCTTTTAAAATAAAATCCCTTTTCTGTTTTAAAGATCCACTTCCTGAAGTCTCCAAATTTATATGGTAGTTTACCAGTTCTCGTGTGCGGGATGTAATTCCCGTTATATTGGTGAAAATTTTCGCCAACTATCTACCAGGATAAAAGAACACACTCAAACAGACTAAAACTCTACCATCTAGAAACATCTTCATGCCTCCCATTTTTGTAAAAATAAATATTAAACTTCTTGCTTTAAAATCATTGTCACCAATCAATCAACTTTCTCTCTCAAAATCAAAGAAGCTCTCCACATTAATAAAACTAATCCTAATCTAAATGTTCAAATTCATCATTACAACACTATCTTTACTTTATAATAGGTCTAATCTCATTTTGATCACCATTTATAATAGGTCTAATTTCATTTATAATAGGTCTAATTTCATTTATCACTATTTCTAATGTAAATACTAATATATTTATATACATTTTTTTGTTTTAAACTTACTTTATATAGATCACACTCCCATTCAATGCAAATAATTTATTCATATCTTCTTATCTTGTATCATATTTCGTAACACTATCATTCGCACTGAAGATGGCATTTTGTTAATGTCAAAACACGTTTGCTATTAAAAAATCGTCGTTTTTAATACAACGTTGAATGTAAACTAAAAATGCTACATTAATATTGCATACAATCATACATTAAAAGACACATTTACGTTGTTGAGGCAAAAAATACAGAACCAAACGAGCATTGCCAACTTTTACAATAAATTATTTTTGTTTTCACTTTGCCACAATTTTGTAAAGCCCTCGCCCATTTTGTCATTTTGCCAAACTATACGTCACATATACCATCTAAAATCTCCCTTTTTTACAAGCCACTTACGACTGTTTTTTTCACATTAGATTAGAGAGTAAATTTCTCTCTGTTTTCACTATTTTTTTTTCGTCTACAAAGTCAAGTGATAACAACTTCCTCCATATCAAAACTCACCACGAGAGCAATATATTCACTTCAATGTTAATTCATTCAAAGAGTTTTGGGGGGCGACTGCGGTCTTGTGACATTATATGCAATACCTTATTTTAAATCTTACTCCAATAATGAAAAATGATAAATTTAATATCCGACAACCAGGAAATTGTTGAACTCAAACATTTTTGGATCTCGATGTTAGATATCTTTACTCGAATTTTTCTTGACTTCACGATCAACGAAAGTCACTTTTCCTTCATCACTCAGTCAAATTTTTGTCTTATATCAACTCCTTATGAGATCCTTAATATTTGAGGAATTTTTTCAATGTACTAACTCCACCAGAGAGCCTTTAATAGATGAAAATTTTCTTAATGACAAGCAGAGGTTAAATTGTCACGTAGTTTTTAACAAGCATTTTTGAGATAAATCGTGTGCCTACCAAATAGTTCTACTTACGTCCCTTTAAATCATGCTAGACTTGTTTAGAGACCAAATTAAGTATGTCTGATTGATATCTATTTGCTGATTTCCGAATCGGGGCACTACAGATCTGAAGGCAATATAAGTTATTATATTAGGAAGATATTTTTTTTCTAGTTGGACTTTGAATTTTCATTAAACATTTTAAACTTTGTATTTGCCATGTCAAGAAAACTTTCAGGATTCTAGATTTCTGATAATACATGATAATTCCATAAATTATTCAAATGAATAAATTTTAGTTTGAAAATCTCGGTATACAACAACGTTGACAATTAATGATGATAAAGACTGGTGTAGTTAATGGAACATTTAATGTTATAAGTTAAAAGCAGTTAATGATATAAAATAAGGACCGATATTTATCTCTTCTAAACATTGTAAGAAGCGTTCGTGTAATGAAATGCAAAAGAACAAGACTGACAGGCAAAAATACTTTGTAAGTTTTTAAATTTTAATGAGTCACCAACCTTCAGTCAAATGATGAATTTCAACAAGTAACAAGATGCCAACAACAACCTTCTCCAAAATCATTGCCAGTTTACAGTAACAACAATCCTGAAGCGAACAAATTTGCCGTATTTGGTAAAAAATTTTAGCAGGAGTAAAACAACACAACACAGCAAAGCCTTGCTTGCATTTGTTATGGTATATATTTTCTCCAGCTAAATATGTACATGCGTATATTGTACTCTATAGAAACAAAAAAAACATGTGCACTTGAAGGCAACGTGAACGGTGAAGTCGGCCAACTTTCGTTTTTAATTCTAAGTAAAGGCTTCATGTGGCAATTCAAATGATGTATTTATCTCGTCTATTAACTCTGCGGCTAAGGATGTTTTGCTGCTCTGTTAGTTGGGTAAGCTGAAATTCAGTTGAATACCTATCCAGCATATGCAAATAAGTTTTTATTATTACTCAGGTAGTTAAAACTCCAACAATCGCTTTAATTTTACACAATTGACAACATTCATTTAACATTTGAAATTATTTGCAGCAGATGGATCTGTTATTCACATGTCGTTATAACGATTTGTAAGAACATGTGACATTCTCTCCGAGAAGTTCAGCAAATATCTTACAAGTGTTAACACTCAACGCCTACAAAAATTACGGTAGTCACGAGAACTCGTGTTCTCTTCAAATGTCTTTGTTCATATATCATATACTTTTAAGTGCTCATGTTTTATGTGTTATTGGTAAAGTAACCAAGAAGTAACATTGGTAAATTTTCC